CCCCTCTGTTCTTTTACTTTACCCCTCACAGGGTCCTTAGAAAAAAGGAAACTAATAAAAACAAGTTCTTAGAACAGCACCTGGCACACAGGATGCTCTGTCTGAACATTTGCTATCATGACTGAAACTCACAAGAGATCAATATCCCAGTGAGATCCAGTAGAATTATTTAAATTCTTTAGTGACCTTGTTAAAACAATGATGAGGGGCCCTCTCTGGTGGCATAGCGGGTTAAAGCACTGCACTAAGAAACTAAAGCCACTTCCGCATGAGTTTGATCCCAGCCTGCCCAGGAGGAGATCCTCATAGCGTGGCAGACCTCTCCTGACCCACCCACTGCTCCCCTCAGCAGTGTACTTCGTCGATCTGCCTGTTCTGCTCCTTGCTCTGGCTCTGATGAATCCTCTCACCCTCCGCATCTCTGGCCTGTACCCCAATTCTGTATGAATAAATAAATCTTTAAAAAAATGGTGAAATTACTTTTAATAATACATCCAAACTATTAACATCTTTGACATGTAATCAGTATAAAAGCTAATGAATAAAAAACAAACAAAATAACTAATGAACGAGATGTTCATCTTTCCGTTCTACTACATCTTAGAAAAATCTCTTGTGCATTTTACACCTACTGCAACTCTGATTTCTTTTCTGGATTTATACTGAAATGTGGTTAGCACTTCAAATACTCTGTAACCACATGTGAAGAGCAGGGCATTCATGTTAGACAGATTAGACTGGACAGTGCAGCTCTAGACTCTGGGGAACTCATGCAAGTGAACATGAGAGAGACAGCAACCCCAAGTGCAAACAGGGCAAAGGTCTGAAGAGGCAACTTACAGAAGAGAGCCAGAAGACCATCAAGCAAATGAGATGTTCAGAATGATTAGAAATCAGAGAATTGTAAACTAAAACAATAGCAATCCGACTTGATAGGCAGAATGGGACAAATTAGAAAACTGGATAATGCCAATAGCTGGTGGAGATACAGAAACACAGGACTCTCTTGCACTGCCAGAGTGTGACTCGGGACAGCTAGGCTGGGAGTGGGGAGCACTAGCTTAGGTGTGCCCTGTGACCCAGCATCTCTGCGTCCAGTTTTCTCTTCTGGGGAGAATCTCATTATATCCTAGTAATGTTCACTGTGATGTGGGGAGCTTGGGAGAGGAGTAAAATGTGAGAGATGAATTTGTGGAGCATCAAAGAGAAGGGGAAAACATTCAGATTAACAAAGAGGAAACAGATTCAGGATATTAACAATACAGATGGATCTTTCAGGCATAGTGCTGCAATTAATTAGCAAGCAAGTGGGGGAAAAAAAGCAGTGTTAAGTGAGAAAAAGTAAGAAATTAAATATAATAGAATACCCATGTAAAATAACACGTTTGCAAGGAAAGACACAAAAAGTTGCACAGCAAATCCACTGGAGAATGGGTTTGTTTTCCTCCACTGTTTACTTTGAAATTTTCCAACTTATGGAAAATTTATAAGAATAGTAACATAGGGGCCTCCCTGGTGGTGCAGGAGTTAAAGTCTCAGCAGTATTACAAGCCACTGCAGCATGAGCTTGATCCCCAGCTAGCCAGGGAGCTGACCCACATGGTACAGCAGGCCTCTCCTGTCTCCCCTGATGCTCCCCTCAGCAGTGTACTTCACTCCATCTGCCTGTTCTGCTCCCCACTCTGTCTCTGGTGAATCCTGTCACCCCCCTGCACCTCTGGTTTGTACTCCAGTTCTTGTATACATAAATAAATCTTTAAAAGAATAAGAATAGTTTAGTGATGGGAAGGGGATTACAACTGAGATGGAAAAATGCACAAAATGATGTAAAAATAAACTATTATATTATTTAAAAAAAAACAAAAACTAAGAATAGTAACGTGAATATCCATATACCACTTTCCTGGACTTGGCAGCAATATTACTATTTTTCCGTATTTCCTTCTCTCCCACTTCTTTCTCCTTGTCTATGTTAACTCTAGGTTACAACATATTATAATACTATATAGAATGTTGTACACATATATATTCTTCTGAACCACTTAACTGTTATAGGTATCATGAATCTATCACTAAATAATTCAAGGTGTATCTCCTACGAACAAGAACATTCCCTTATCTAATCACAGTGCAATCAATGGTCACACTCAGGGAATTTAACACAAATGCAATATTATCTAATATACACTCAGCCTTTATATCGCCCTTATTTTCCCAAGAATATCCTTCATTGTGTTTTATCTTTTTTTGAAAATTTTATGGCAGATCCAATCAATGATCATACATTGATTTTTAGCGTGGGGGAGTGAGGTGGTTGCAAAAGTTCTCTCAAGTGGTATCTTTCTTCAAGATCGGATCCTAGGTAAACTTTGGGCAGGACCAAATACTTTGTACATCACAGCAGGGGGCACACAAAGCCCTGTCTCACCTAGTGATGTTAACTTTGATCACTTGGTCATGGTGGAGACTGTCAGCACTCCTACTGTAACTGTTCCCAGTTGTAGTAAAGAAGTAATCCTTGGGCTAGTCATCTGGATATCCACTTCCCCTTTGATGAGCCTAACCTGAATCATTTATTCTCTGGTGGCTGCAAATGGTGACTTTTAACTCAACCGAGGGGGCACCCAAGTCTGAGTTCCCACCAGCGAGGCCTCCCAAACTCAGTTCTCAGGCATGCACGTGAGCTGTAAAGTCCGGCAGGAAGTGTCTAGTGCTCCCCTGTGCCCTGGGCAACTCCCCTAATCACTGACTAGTTACTCCTTCATCCACCAACAGGTGTGTTTATTTTTTTTAAGATTTATTTATTTATGCATACAGGACTGAAGTACAGTCCAGATGTACAGGCTTCACCAGAGTCAGAGTGGGGCACAGAACAGAAAGATCAATGAAGTACACTGCTGAGGGGAACAGCGGGTGGGTCAGGAGAGGTCTGCCATGTGGGTCACCTCCGGGCCTGGGGATTGAACTCGCACTGAAGCAACAGAAGTTTGCTTGCAGTGCTGTGCTTTAACCCATTGCTCCACCAGGGAGGGGCCAATAAGTGTTTGTTTTGTTTTTTTTTTTTAAGATTTACCTTTATGTATTTATGCATACAAAAACTGGGATATAGGCCACAGGTACAAGGGGTGTGGAGGCAGAGGATTCACCAGAGACAGAGTGGGGAGCAGAACAGGCAGATCTACTGAAATACATTGCTGAGGAGAGACAGGAGAGGTCTGTTGTGCCATGTGGGTCAGCTCCCTGTACCCACATAAATCAAACTCATCCAACTCTTGCCGCAGTGGCTGGTGATAGCTTGATAGCTGAGACTTAACTCCTTGCACCACTAGGGAGGCCTAACAGGTGGGTTTTGATTCAGGACTTGGCTGTACCCAAACCCCCTCATCCTACTCTCTCTAGGTGTACAGGGGGCAGCTGAGGTGCAGGCGGTGCCATGGGTCTGGTCACACAGAAGGTAATGAAGCAAACAACTGAGGCATTCACCTCTGTAGGGAGGTAGCACACAGAGGTCAGCAGAACAGGAAGAGAGAGACAATAGCTATGCCTGTTGCCACAGCAACCAGAGTGTTTGCCAGCTGGGCTGGGATGGTTGGACAGGCCTCAGTAGGGGCCAGGACCCACTCTCCCCTTTCACTTAGTCTCTGCAGGTCTTGGTCATGCTGGGTTGCCAAGCAGCTCATCTGGAGACTGCAAAGACCCAGTGTGAGTCTGTCGGGGATGGTTGCAGCAGTTAAGAGGCTTCGTTAAACTACAACTCCCAGGTTACAGTGAACTCAGGTCCAGCCCCAGCCACCCTGAGTGACAACGGGGAAATCTTACCAGCCTTGGGAACTGAGAATCCTGAGCTGCAAGAGGTGCCTTTATTTCTTGGATTACCTGTTCCTGTTTGAGAAATCCCCTTTACAAAACAAAGCTGGAGATGGCAAGTTTTTCATCTCTAGGTTTTCAGATGCCATCGTATTTTCATCCACACATGTTTGCTGAGACCCTGCTGTGTCAGTCTCTGGCTGGTCGGGCAGGGGGATAGTCAGATGATGGAAACAGGCGGAGGAAACAGGCTCATGAAAGGTCAACCCCCTCAGGGCAGAGGCTTGGGTTATAATCTAGGACATTGCATATGGGCGATAAATACCACTTCCATTGCACAAGGCTTTTCACACAGCTTTGCCAGCTCCTACGATATTGCACTACTCTAAAATGTGCCATCTTTCTGTCTGGCCTCCAGATCCTTTGCACCGGCTGTTTCCTCTACCAGAACCACATTAAGCTTTATACGTTGATGTGTCTATAGTCATGGACAGAGCCTGGCACCGAACAGGGTCACATTAAATATTTGATGAGTGAATGAATGCCCTTGTCCATTGTATACCCCGGGAAGCAGAAGCCTCCCTATTCATCTCGGATCCACCAGTCAGCCTGGAATGAATTAATCTTTTTATCCACTCAGCTCCGAAGATGGCCGGGTTGGGGCAGGAGCAGGCAGGGCGTTGTACTGGATTGGGGGGTGCCCTGGGTCCCCTCCCAGGTCTCCTATAGGGTCTCTTTTTCTTATGCTTCAACTTTGCATCCTCTCCCAAAACCCAGCCTCGGTCACGTGACTCCCATGGCAACCGCTCCCCCGCCCCCACTCTTACCATCCAAGACACCCCAAACGTTACACTCATCCAGCAACACGTGGTCCGCGGCCCCCCAGCTTCCCATTAGCCGCTCTGGATTGGCTGGGAATTAGTCGTAGCATTGCCCCCTCCGCTGCCCTGCGATGGTATAGCCCGCCGCGGTTTAGGCCGGGCGAGATAGTCCACTGCGCCATGGCGCGGGGGAGGAAGGGTGTCGGAAAGCTGGGTGAGGCGGAGGGATCCCTCTGGAATGTTTCCGTCGGTTCCAGCCGAAACGGACTGAGCGGAACGGATTGGCCGCGAGGTCCCAGCGGCCGCCTCTGATTGGTCGGCAGCGGGCACCGGCCCCGCCCCTGGCCGCGGCTGCGGGAGAGGCCCCGGCCAGAGTTTGCAGTGGGCCGAACCGGGCGCACGCAGGGCGCGGCGGCAGAGTCACGGGCGCAGGTGAGTTCTTCTCGCGGGCGGGGCGCAGCTGATCTGAGGACCCCGAAACCGATTCGCAGTGGTGTAGACTTGGGGGTTTCGGCGGATCGTGCGGGGTGGAGTTCGCCTCCTGGACGCAGCATGAGGACTAGGCTGGGTTCTGGGATGCCGGGGGCCCGGTTCTAGCATGCACCTCCCCTACCACTGGGAGCCGGAGGCTAAAGCCTCTAGCCTCAGGGATGAGGTCTCCAAGCGCAACCCTCATTTATATCCTGCGCTCCTCTGAACAGTCCCACTCCCGGCCGGGGAACTAGTTCGGGGGATTTTGAGTCCTGCCTGGGCACCTCCCCGGGGTTCACCGTGTCCCGGGCGTCCCGGACCTGGGGAGGATCGGGGAAGGACTAGTGTTCTGATGATAATAATGAAAAAAATTACCCCAGCTTGCATTTATTGAATACTTCCGTGTCGGCTATATACCATGTGTACTGTGTCATCGACTCTATAAACACCTTCTGGAAGTGCTGTTACTTCATTTAGAAGTGAAGCAGCAAACCAGAACGGTAGAGTGATTTACCCAAGGTCACACAGCCAGCAAGTGGCAGTGAGTGGGACTTGTACAACTGTTTCAGAGTGTAGTAGTAGTAGTTTAGCCCAAATGTCCAGGGGCTCCATGCCACAGGGATTCCTAACCAGTTCCTTAGCCTGCTTCCGGCTCGCCTTCCCCTCCCCACTACCAGACATACCATTTGGTCTCTCCTTGCTTGGGGGGGTGGGGGGTGGGGCGCAGCACCCAGAACTTCCATTCAGAAGTTACTGGACAACAACCACTAAAATGGGAAGCTGCACCCCATGTCTGTTCTCCCCTGAATGGAAAGGAAAGGCTGGATCTTGAGAAGGGAGATAGGTAAAGACTCAGGACACTGGGGTCCTGTGCCTGCTGAACTCTCTGGGCAGCCTGGGCCAAGTTCTGGCAGTAGGCGTTTTCCCCGGAAACCACCAGGAGCCGGTTTTTCAAGATTGAATCAGAGGCCTTCCTCCCTTCACTCCAAAGCAATACCCTCTGGAAGGGGGAGCTTGGGCATGGTTTCCCCCTTCCTTCAGCAATGTGTGAACTTCCAGCAACCCCCTTTCCCACATGCAGTTCCTCCCACTGAAATTCTATGAGGTTTACAAGTTTCATGCACTTCCCAGGGCTGAGAGGGTAAAGATACTGGCTTGCTTTCTTTGCCCCTGTGTTTAGGAGACTGGGAACTTGGAGAGAAGGTGGGAATTGGCAATTCTAAGGATAGACACATTCGTTCATATTATGAATATTTGTTGAGCACCTAATATGTGTCGGGCACAGTTCTTTGCACAGAAGATACAACAGTGAGCACGATTAAAATTCCTGTTCTTGGGGGGCTGCTATTCTCAGAGGGGACAGCAAAAAACTAGTTCACCAGTAAATAAAGAAGATGCCTGCATATAATGATAAGTACTATGAATAAAATATGAGGGGGTGGCATGATAGAGTCTGTGAGCTGGTGTTGGGGTTCTTGGGTGAGGGGACTTGGGGGCAGAGACCCAAATGACAAAAAGGAGCCAACCCTGCAAGCATCAAGCATTGGCACAGCCAGGGTAAAGAACTCTGAACCAACTTAGAACAGTTGCTGGGGCAGGAGATGAAGCCAAAGAAGAGATTCTGCAGGGATCTGTGGGTCACCTTTAGCAATGTGGAACTTTCCCTCCATGAGATGGGAAACTGTTGTTAAGATTTGAGACAGTGGAGAGACATGTCCTATTTTACTTTTTAAAATAGAGACAAGTTAAATAACAGCTTAAGACTCAAAGACAAGAGTTCTGTCAGGGCAACACATAATTAACTTCATGTAGTTCATAGTTGTCTTCTGCATTTCCAGCAGACTGAGGCAACCCAGGGAAGCTGCTTGGGGGAGGTGTCCTGGAGTAGGCCCCAGCAAGCAGAGAGGACTGTGATGTTCCTGGGAGGGTAGAGGAGGAGGCAATAATAATAGTGACAATAATAATAATAACAGCTTACATAAGTGTCAGGTAGTGTTAAGCAGTTATATACATTATCTCTTTGGATTCTCCAAAACACGCTTAGATTCAAGAATTCTTCCCATTTTTCAGATGAGGAAACTGAGGCCCATCAAGTGAAGTGATTTGTCCATGGTCACACAGCCAGCGGTAAGTGGCAGGGGTGGGATTTGAACCCAGGTCATTCTGTGTCTACTGGCTTGGAAGGCAGATTCATCAATCACCCACTTTCTTCATAACTGTTGTTTCCCTTTCACAGGAAGCTAATCTGAACCAGGGTAGTTAGTGTGGGCCGAGAGAATAAGGATATTGGGAACTGGTTAGCAGGTTGTGGGGAGGCCTAGGAAAAGAAGGATGTTTGAATCTTCTGTATTTATTGCTGGAAATCATAGTAGTAATCATTGTGAGTTTATTTATGGAACCCTTATTGTACGCCAGTAACAATTCCAGGCACATGCATAATTTCCTTGAAGCTCAGATAGGTTAACCCACTTGCCCAAAGTCATGTAACTAGTATGATGAAGTCAAGTTCCAGATTCATGTTCTCTTAGCATTCTGCTTTTGAGTACAGCAGGTTTTTGAATAACATCATTTCATTACAGGGTTGGTACTGGCCTACGAAAGTTGCAAGGATGTGTTTCCGTATATTACATTTTGCTTAAAGACACAGTTTCTAAGAACCTATTGTTGTTAAGTGAGGATTTACTGAGTATGGGAGGAGGGGTAACTAGAGGAGGTGATGAAAATTTTTGTTGTTTTATTTCCACATTATTGAAATAACTTGAGAGGGAAGTCCTGGTTTACTCAGAACTTAATTTTTGTCAAATAAGCAGTGAACGCCTACTGTGTGCTAGATCCAGTCAGTAATGATTGAGTAAGCAATAAAAAGATCATTACCACAATCAATAAGAAGAAAGACCAGCCATGCAATTAAAATAGTACAATTTTTACAAATTGGCAAAGACTTGGTGAGTTCATAAAAAGGCAAACGCATACGGTAAAAGTTATATTAAAAGGTGCTCAACATCATTGATTTTGAGAGTAGAAAACAAAACCAGCGTGAAATATGAGGGAGATGTGCTCCTGTCTTTGTCACTTAATGAAGCGCCAATCTGCATCCTTGCACTGGGAAGCAGGGGTTGGGGGACCCTATAGGTGATCCACTATGTAGGTGGAACATATCTCCTTTTGCTAGGAGATGAAACCTTCTCTAACAGCAGAGACTACAGCCATGGCCCTTCATCTCCCTAGAGCAAGGCACAGGGGACTGATGGACAGTGAATATTAGGATCATTCATTCATCTATTCACTCATTCAATGTTTATTGAGCATCCACTATGTACCACACTATGTACCATGTCAACACTAAGGCTATAGAAATGAATAAAATAGGCAAATTCCTGTCCCTTCAAAAACATTAAGCTAGAGAATGAAATGCATATTTTTCCTGGAGGAGGTGAGAGAGTGAGTTATATGAATACCAGAAGTTGGTGCAAAGGTCCTGAGACTGGATAGTACCTAGAGTGTTGGAGAAACAGGAATAAGGTTTATGTCGCTGAAGGGAATTAGCAAGAGGGAAACTAGAGGAGATGAGGGCAAAAAAGTAATGCAGTCTGATCTTTTGGGGCCTAGGAGCTGAAAGTAGGACTTTCACTTATACTCTGAATGAGGTAGGAGTCTGGGAGGGGCAGGAGCAGAAAATGGGCATGACCTTACTTATGTTTTACAGGATCACTCTGGCTGCTGTGTTGACAAGGGACTGGGGGCAAGGGCAGAGCCAGGAAACCAGAAGAGGCAGCTGTACTAGTTCAGGTGGGTTATAATGGAGCTAGACTAGGTGATACTAGAGAAGGTATAGGAGAACAAGTGAGTGAGTAAATGAATGAATGAGTAAATGAAAGTAAGAATGGGTATAGCCCACTGGGCTCAACTGAATCCAGGATGGCCTCCTGGAAGAGAAAACCTGAAGGGAAGAATCACAAATACAGAGGAAAATAAATTTTTACATAATTTGATTCTCATGGCAGTCTGGCCAGGTGAATGGAATTCCCCCATTGCAGACCAGGCATATGAGGCCCAGGGAAGAGAGTTTTCCACAGGGAATCGTGTATGGTTGTGGCCTTAGACTTGGCAGTCAGGTGTAGCAGATATCTGTGACTTTGACCATAGGGTTTAAATATGAAAACTCTTTCCCTAGTCTCTGAGGCCCCACACAATCAACCCTGTCAATTCTTGCACTCCTCTCACCCCCACCCCCATCCCGCACATACCACCATTGCTCGTTCTATTCCAGCTACACTGGTCTCTCACTGGTCCATAAGCCTGAGTCTGAGTGTACTCAGAACTCTGCATGGCTCCCACACAGAGCGAAGGTCCAAGTCTTCCCCGTGACCCTCCCCTGTCCCCCCTCACTCACCTGTCCTGCTATTCCCCCTTCCTCACTCTTTTCCAGCCACGTGAACCTCCTGGCTGTCCCACAGACATGCCAGGTGCAGCCCCACCACAAGGCCTTTGCACTGACAGTTCACGCTACCTCAAACATTCTTGCCTCATTTCCTTACGTGACTATTTTTTCCTGTCATTCAGGTCTCAGGTTCAATTTCACCTGCTCAGAGAGGCCCTTCCTAGCTTTATATGTAGAACTTTCTTGTTTTTTTTTTTTTTTAAATATTTTATTTATTTATTTACATAGAACTGGGGTACAGGCCAGAGATGCGGAGGGTGAAAGGATTCACCAGAGACAGAACTGGGAGCAGAACAGGCAGATAGATGAAGTACACTGCTGAGGGGAGCAGCGGGTGGGTCAGGAGAGATCTGCCTCGCCATGTGGATCTCCTCCGGGGCAGGCGGGAATCGAACTCATGCAGAAGTGACTTTAGCTTCTTAGCGCAGCGCTTTAACCCGCTGAGCCACCAGGGAGGGCCCAGAACTTTCTTGTTTTATTGTTTTTACAGCAGTATTAGAAAGTGTTAGACTTATGCATGTTTTTCACGATGCATCTTTTCCTAGACTGCATGTTTAGACAGCATGCACAGAGCCCCAATGACCTAGACAGCACCCAGGGGGCGAGTTTGAAATCAGCAGCCCTTCCTCCAGCAGATGTGTCACCTCAGTAATGAATGTAACTTTCAGGCAGAATACAGTCCCACCTGCCACCTGGGCCTGGTGCTTTTTGTGTGGTGAATAACCTGTGTAATTGCACAAGGTGGCAAAGTCATAGACCTTCCTTCTCAAAGGCAGTATCTAAAGTGGTGCAGAGACATATTCAGTGCCCCAAACATATTTTTTTAAGGGAGGAGGGTGAAAGAGCAAAAGAAACCAAGAGAGTGTTGGGAGAGGGGAGGTGAAGAAATAAAAGGGAAAAGAAAAAATATTGTATCAGGACAGGTTTTGCTGCAGTAAAAACCCCAAAAATATAAGTGGCCCAACTCAGCAGAGGCTTACTTTTCATTCCTGCTACATGTCCATTGCAGCTCACTGGGAGTCCCCTTCATTGTAATTACCAGGGCCTGGCCTCAGGGAGTCACCATCTTATCAAAGGTGGCTGATCACCATGACCGGGAGAAATAAATTTAAAGGTCATGTGTCACTTCCTCTCAACACTTTGGTCAGAACTAGTGTCATGCCTGCCTGGCCACCAGGCGGTCAGTAAATGCTATCCACCTACCTGTTTTGAAAGTAGGAATGTCAGAATTTTTTACACACAGCACTGAAGATCCTACCTGATAGAAAAATAAAGGGAAACGTAACTGCTCCGAGCCGCCAGTTCCTCAGCTGTTGAGTGTGCATAATCATAGCAGAACACGGTCCCACATCACCGTGCAGCATGAGGTCATGGTGCAGTTAGCATGGTGGTAGTAGATACTACTGCTGTTACTATTTCTGTAAAAAGTGTTCAAGTGCCAGAGCAGGCATTTGAACTGAGGCCTGTCTAGTCTCTAAGAATGTCCTGGGCCTTTAGGGTGCTAACATGAGAAAGGCTCCCTGAGGCTGCTGCCTAGGTCTTAAACCCACTTTCCTGCCCTGCAGATCTCCTGGGCACACGCCTTCTCACTGCTCATGCCGCTGGGACTGGGGCGGCGGAAAAAGGCGCCCCCTCTGGTGGAAAATGAGGAGGCTGAGCCAGGTCGTGGTGGGCTGGGCGTGGGAGAGCCAGGGCCCCTGGGTGGAGGTGGGGCAGGGGGTCCCCACATGGGCCTGCCTCCCCCCCCCCCAGCCCTGCGGCCCCGCCTCGTATTCCACACCCAGCTGGCCCACGGCAGCCCCACTGGCCGCATCGAGGGCTTCACCAACGTTAAGGAGCTGTACAGCAAGATTGCTGAGGCCTTCCGGCTGCCAGCTGCTGAGGTACCCACTGGGGAGCCAGGGATGAGAGGTGGGAATGTGTCCTGTTAATGAGCTGGAGCATCGATGCTGAGGCTTCCATTGCAGTGTGATTACAGGGAATTAGAGATCAGGGCTGTACTGCCTTTTCATCAGGGCCTGCACCCTAATGATTGTGGGAACTTGAGGTTAGGACTAGGTGCTGAGTTCCCATCATACCTTGGGTTCTGGTAGGGAGTTCATGTCCCTATCAACTATAGGGGGCTGGAGACCAGATTTAGATGCTGAATTCCCATCAGGCATTGGAAACCTGTGCCCCAGTAGGGTGAGGGAGGCAGCTGAGGTTTGAGTGTTTCACACTCCTACAGGTGATGTTCTGCACTCTCAACACTCACAAAGTGGACATGGACAAGCTTCTAGGCGGCCAGATTGGGCTGGAGGATTTCATCTTTGCCCACGTCAAGGGGCAGCGCAAGGAAGTAGAGGTGTTCAAGTCAGAGGAGGCTCTGGGACTCACCATCACAGACAATGGGGCCGGCTATGCCTTCATCAAGGTGCCTGGGGGTGCACAGGGCACAGAGAGCCCTGAGGGTAAGGGCTGGCCACAGTGCCAGTGCGGAGCCCTGGGAGCTGATAGTTCCTCTCCCCTCCAGCGCATTAAAGAGGGCAGTGTGATTGACCACATCCAGCTCATCAGTGTGGGTGATATGATTGAGGCCATCAATGGGCAGAGCCTGCTGGGCTGCAGGCACTACGAGGTGGCCCGTCTGCTCAAGGAGCTACCCCGAGGCCGTACTTTCACTCTGAAGCTAACAGAGCCACGCAAGGCCTTTGGTGAGTAGCTGAGCAAGACCTCCCTGATCTCCCTGCTCACTCTGGTACAGGCTGCGATGTACAGAGTTACCAGCAGGTGGTGCCCAAACCCACTCAACTGAAGTAGAAGGGAGAGCTCCTCTGCCCTGCCCTAGGGGAGGGCTGCTGGCTCTCTGCCCAGCCTGGGGGAGGGTGGGAGCAAGGAGGAAGTTGCCCCCACACCCTGCTTCCAGGAGCCATTAAGCCACCCAAGCCCCCCCAATCCTGGTCAGCCAGCCCCTCTGCCCTGAGAAGCAAGGCTTGGCTGCCCTCCGCCAGCCCCCCCCACTTTTCTGTTCAACTTCACTAACTCTCAGGAATGAGACCAAGGCCCTGGGGTGGGGGTGGGGGACTTTCAAGCACTTCCCCCAAGCACATAGGGCTAGTGTGCAGCCCAGCAGCCATATCCATTTGGCCTGGGGGAGAACAGCTAGAGACCTAGACCCTGCACGCTCCTTTGTCCTAGGGTCCTGGGGACCAGAGTGGCTTCCTCAGGTTGCTCTTCAAACCTTTTCCATCACCAGTCCCTCACTGCTGGGCAACCATGCCAAGCCTCAGGAGGAGTCCCACCTTCTTAGGGTTACCTCAGCCCCCAGCTCCCCCCAAGGCCACAGAAGAATGGAGAAAGGGGGGGGGGATTGTCAGGGTCAGCAAACCTGCATTCCTGCCAAGAGCCTGCAGGCCTGGGCTTCCTTATTCCTTTCTGCCTCCTGCAGACATGATCAGCATGCGTTCAGGGGGTGGCCGCCCTGGCTCCGGCCCCCAGCTGGGCACTGGCCGAGGGACCCTTCGGCTTCGATCCCGGGGCCCAGCCACTGTAGAGGACCTGGTGAGTGTTCCAGCCAGACCTCAGCCCCCTTCCCTGCAGAGGCAGCATCACCTTCCAGCTGAGGGTTGCCTGGATTCAAGTCTACCTGTCACCTCCCAGCTCTGGAGCCTTTCTTGGGCCTGTCAAACTCAGTTTCTTCATCTGTGAAATGAGGATAATCATACTGACATGTTCAAGGTTGTGAAGAATAACTAACTAGGATATATACATCAAGTGGTAGAAAAAGCACTCAGCATTTAGTAAGGACAGTTACAATTGCATTCATGTAATTATGATACTGCTGTTACCCTCTCCCACCCCAGCCCTCAGCTTTTGAGGAGAAGGCAATCGAGAAGGTAGATGACCTACTGGAGAGTTACATGGGCATCAGGGACACGGAGTTAGGTGAGTGAGGGGCTCCCGGGTGTGGGGGTCGTGTGGCGTCTCGGAGATGGGCTTCTGGGAGCTGTTGCCTCTGTCCGTGATATCTCCATTCTGCTCCCCACCCCCAGCGGCCACTATGGTGGAGCTAGGAAAGGACAAAAGGAACCCAGATGAGCTGGCCGAGGCCCTGGACGAGCGTCTTGGTGACTTCGCCTTCCCTGATGAGTTCGTCTTTGATGTCTGGGGTGCCATTGGGGACGCCAAGGTTGGCCGCTACTAGGCTTCCCATTGGACCTTGGGGTGACCTGAGCCCAGCCTGATGGGAATCCCCAGTTGGGAGGAGGGGACACCATGGCCAGGACCTTAGTATCCAGCTTGGGCCTCGCTCAGCAGCTGGAGGATGATGCAGAGTGGAGCAGAGGTGGGCCCCTGCCCCTCTCCAATCGGTACCACCCCCTTCCCAGTTCTCAGCCCACCTGAGGTCCCCAGCATGCCCCTGTCCTGTTCCCCACCTACCTCAGCAGGGTCAGGAGCTGAGAGGGGCCGGCCAGAATGAGCCACCACCCCCACCCTCAACACTTTCCACATCAGCTGCCAAACTGGCCCCTATCCCTGGGGCCTTGGTTTCTGTTGGAGGGGGGGTGGTAACCTCCCTCATTTCCTGATGCAGGGAATGTAGAAGGGGGGCATCCCCCCTCAGCAAATGCAATAATATCCTCCCACCCCCACCTAGTGGAACCCCCACACTGTGGAGTCTGTTACCTCTGCATTTGAAACACGAGTCTGCTGTGAACCCTCCAAATTCCCTGTGGTTCCCCCAGCCCAGCCCTGGATGGACTGGGTGGGGGTAGGAGGGTCGAAAGCAGTGGGCTTTTGTATCTGAATTTGCTGTCTTGAATATAAAGAATCTATCTGCTGTTGGACCTGTGTGGACTTTGGGTTGGAAGAGGGGGTGGGTAGGAGTGGGAAAGAATGCAGCAGCTGAAATCCATCCTCCTCTGGGCTCCAAATTGAATTAGGAGCTGGCTCAGGGCCGCCCATCGCCTCCCACCCGTTCCGCCTGATGAGGATCCTGGCTGCTCGCCACCAGACTTCCAGGCAAGGCTGGAGCTTCTTGGCTTACTAAGGGTTCAAATCTTGCTTCCTCCTGGGAGAGCTGGGCACCAGGCTGTTGACTATGTCCCACCATAGTCCAGCCCTGAACCAGGAGTGTGAAGACCTGGCTTGGAAAGAAGGTGGGAAGGGCCCCAGTTAGAGCCTTGGGCCTGCTGGGGAAGTGCTGTGTGTGGGGGGTGTCCTCATCCCCTGATGCTAGGGGGGCAGTCTTGGTGAGACCCTTACCCCAGCTGATTCTGGACCCGAGGCGTCTGCTGATGTCCATAGCACACCAGGCTTTGCTTTGGACATAAACTCAGCATGCTTGTTTTGACAGCCCACTTTATCCCCAAGGCTTGAGGGGGATCAAGGAAGAGCGAAAGGGACCTTTGCCAGACCTGGAGGGAGGGGTAGGGATTGAAGTGAGGGAGCCAGGGCAGAGGTCCCCGCAGGAATGTGTGGAGGCAGTGGGAGGCTGCAGAAAAGTGAGTCCAGCCGCTCCTTGTTTACACAAGGCAGAAGATGGAGCCCCAGGGTGAGGGGCCAGAGCAGCCGCTGTCAAGGTTACCCTGGCATCCCTGGGCCACCTGTGGGTGCTTCCTGTGTCTATGCTTGTAACTCAGCTGTGTGTCTCAGTGTTGAGAGGGTAGAGCAGTGATCTGGGTGTTGGTTTGTGATTCTGTGAAGGGATAAGGGCTTGACAGCTGTGTTTCCAGGGTGCTGATAGGAGTAGATTGTGGCTGTATGATCACATTTGATGTGTCCAGGGTTGTAATCATTTGTGTCTTTGGGTGCTCCCATTTCTGGGGTAATTAGACTCAGTCAAATTTCTGTGGCTACTAGATCTTGGTATGTCCAGGGGCACCACTCTCTATCTTGGGGGTTTGGTGTGTACTCGAGGAGCCTGTATTAGACTGTCAGGGGTGTATCCAATATGGAGTCAGACTATTTCCTAGCACTAGCAGATGTTGGTGGTGGCTTTCTCGGGTGTTGAGAGAAACGGCCAGTGGTAAGATGGAGACTGTCCTGTGAGATGAGTGGTATGATGATGGCTGAGCCCAAGGCCTCTAAGGACTGTGGCTTCCACTGCCCTGGGCACTGGCTGTGATAATGGCCGGTTTTAGGGTGTTAGGGATAGGACTATATCTTCAGGTGTAAGCGTGTGTGTCTGTGTGCACACGTGCGTGTGTGCGTGCTCGTGCACATGCCCTCAGCGGTGTCACCCCTACTTCTAAGGGCCAGAGTGACACTGTAGTTGTGTGTCCAGGCTCAAAGGTTGACTTGGGTGCTGCTTCTTACATCTAACACCTAGGAGAGTTCCCGATTGTCAAGCCTTCTTGCCCTGTCCCTCCTCAGATATGACTTTCTACCTCTGGCCTGGGCTTTAAGCCCTGTGTAAATAATGGGCAGGTCTCCCAGCCATGCTGTGCCTGGCTCAAGCTGTCCATCCAAGCTGCTGCCCACCAACATCCACAAAGGCTCTGATGGGGCACGTGGAGGTATTGTTGCCGCCCCAGTAGGCAACCCCTCGACTTCACAGCCCCATGGGAGCAGCATCAGCCCGTTCAGCCACCGTAGCCAGCCCTGAGCCACACTCATATTTTCCAGTGTTTAGATTTTATCCACTTTATTAATGAGGCAGGCAAGAGGTCCAAGCCTGGAGGGGGAGGGGAAGGGGCTACTCGAGCCCAGCTGAGGAAGGGGATCATGGGGCCAGACCAGCTGTCTGGGAGTGCCCCTCTTAGTGAGAGGAGCTGAAGCTTGAATGGTGGGGGTGTCTGCTCCCCAGCCCTCTCAGTGGGTGAGTATTGAGTGGAGCAGCCCCTGGTGGCCAAAGCTCACAGCTGACAGACGGGAGGAGGTTCAGAGGCTGGAGGAGACTGGAGCTGGGAGCCGCCCCTGGAGGGAGGGGAGGGGAGAGGGGAGTGGCCTTCAGAGTGCTAGGGTGTAGCAGTGCTGGCGCAGCTGGCAGCAGGAGCTAAGCAGCAGATGATGGGGACCCAGCGTCCCAGGCAGCGCTGGGTAAGAAGGCTGGGGTGAGGGTCTCTGGTGGGGGAGGAGCGCATGGAAGGATAGAGCTTCGGCTCCTCAGACTGCGCTGTGTTCCTTGACTCTCAGCCTTCCTGTCTCAGTCCATCCTCTCTCCCAGTGTGACTCAGTGGGTGGCCCTGCCCTCCTAGCCCGCACCACCAGGATATCAAGAAATGGGTGGTCCGCAATCAGCCTTGAGGTTTCCAGCAGGAGTGGAGCTGTGGGTGTTTAGGGTGAGCCACAGTAGTGGTCAGGGGTTGGGCCTGGGTGAAAGACAGCAGTGAGCTGTGGCAGTTGTGGGGACAGAAATGGGACCGTGAAGACAGGTATGTGACTGGGGACAGAAGTGGCTATGGGGAGGAGCCATTTTGGAAGAGAGATGACTGTGTTAGCAGAGACGGGACTTTGGGTGTAAGGGTATGATGGAGTCCAGGTAACGGTGATGCTCAGAGGTCAGTAGGAGGGCTAGAGGGCCAGGCATATGTTGGGTATAAAAATGGGAGGTGAGGACAAATGGGAGCTGAACCTGTGATGTGTGAGAAGGGGCTGGTGAAGGCCAGAGTGAGATGGAGAGCAGAAGACCTGGGGAGAGGCGCCAGAGCGTCAGGGTGGGACAGCCAGGATCGCTGGGGTGCCCTGGACAGAGAGACCATGGAAGCAAGCCCCGGGGTCTGACGGGCCCTCGTGATCAGAGATGGGGACTGCAGACTGGTGCCAACCTCACCTTGCCCTCCTGTCTTCTCCCCAGCCCCAACCTTGGCACCCGACATGAGCTCTTGTGGGGTCTTCAACTTGAGCCTGCTGGGCGAGGCCACCACGTGTACAGCACTTGGGGCCCCCAACGCCTCGGCCCCGCCATCATCAGGCCTTCTGAGCATGTCGCCGGCACTGCCCATCTTCTCCATGACGCTGGGTGCCGTGTCCAATGTGCTGGCGCTGGCACTGCTAGCACAGGCCGCAGGTCGCCTGCGACGCCGTCGCCCAGCCGCCACCTTCCTGTTGTTCGTTGCCAGCCTCCTGGCTATCGACCTGGCGGGCCATGTGATCCCAGGCGCGCTGGTGCTGCGCCTGTACACAGCCGGGCAGTCCCCAGCCGGCGGCGCCTGCCACTTCCTGGGCGGCTGCATGGTCTTCTTTGGCCTATGCCCGCTGCTGCTGGGGTGCGGCATGGCGGTGGAGCGCTGCGTGGGCGTCACGCGGCCACTGCTGCACGCGGCACGAGTCTCGGCGGCCCGTGCGCGCCTGGCACTGGTCGCGCTGGCCGCGCTGGCCTTGGCAGTGGCGCTGTTACCTCTGGCCAGTGTAGGGCACTATGAGCTGCAGTACCCTGGCACATGGTGCTTTATTGGGCTGGGTCCGGCAGGCGGCTGGCGCCAGGCGCTGCTTGCCAGCCTCTTTGCCGGTCTGGGTTTGACCGCCCTGCTTTCCGCACTCGTGTGCAACACGCTGAGCGGCTTGGCCCTGCTGCGCGCCCGCTGGCGCCGCCGCTCTGTTCGGCACCCCCTGCCTTCCCGCACCGACAGCCGCCGTCGCTGGGGAGCCCGCGGATCCCGTTCTGCCTCGGCTTCGTCGGCCTCATCCATGGCTGCCACCGCTGGCGGCTCACCGAGACGTGGTTCATCGCGCAGAGCCCGCACTCACGACGTGGAGATGGTGGGCCAGCTCGTGGGCATCATGGTGGTGTCGTGCATCTGCTGGAGTCCGCTGCTGGTGAGGGGCACTCAGGCCCCTCCTGCCCAGCTCCTGCTCCCTCCTTCCCTGGCACTCCCACCCCTTCATCATGGGATACTGGGTCCCCTCTCCCTTTCCAGAGAGAAGTCCAGTCCCTTTTCAGTCCCACCTATTAGACCTGCCTTTTGCCCTCTCCTTCTGGCTACCACCTCCTCTGCCCAGCCCAGTATCTTATTACTTCTGGGGTCTGTAATTCAAAGTCTCCTCTCCACCCCACCTCTCTGGGCCCCAAAGCTTCTTTCTGCCTTCTGCCCCATTTGTTTTAATCCATTCAGTATCCTATGTTTTGGAATACTAGAGAGTTCTCTCTACTGAAACCTTGAGGCTGTACAGGCCTCTGACCTATGACCTCTAACCTCCCCCACCCCTTCTCAGAACTCTGTCTCCTTCCCAGCACCCCTCATTTGCCAGCCCAGCTCCCAACCCCAACCATCCCAGCCCCACCGATTGCCAGTCCCCTTCGTTGACAACTGCCGCGCCACTCACACGGACTTCTCCCACAGGTGTTGGTGGTTCTGGCTGTTGGGGGATGGGGGTCCAGCTCCCTGCAGCGACCACTGTTTTTGGCTGTGCGCCTAGCCTCTTGGAACCAAATTCTGGACCCCTGGGTGTACATCCTGCTGCGGCAGGCCGTGCTGCGCCAACTGCTCCGGCTCCTGCACCCGAAGGCCACTGCCCAGGGCAGCCCCGCGGAACTACGCCTAAGCAGGAGCACCTGGGAGGCCAGTTCATTGCGCAGCTCGAGGCAGTGGCCTTAGCCGCTTATTAGGTGCGCCTGGAGTTTCAGCTGCTCAGCTTTCTGGCGCAGCGTGGAGCCTTTGGAGGCGGGGATCGGACTAAAACCCTTTTGTTAACGAGCCCAGCGGAGTATGTCCCGGCGGAGCTGCAGCACTCAAGAGGCCACTTGGTGGAGGCAGAGGCGCGAGCCAGCCTCACTGGGGAGTGCAATTCCGGAACTTGCCGCGAGGGGGCGAAGTGTGCTGGAGGTGTCCTGGCACACTGGCGGCCGCAAGTGGGGGTTGGTGGGGTGGGCTCGGATGGAAGCCTTTGTAGACGCCACCGCCAGGACAGCCTGCAACCATTCCTCATTATGGTCCCGAGTTCGGCCCAAACCACCCGGAAGCCCAGAAGTCCCTTAATACAGCTCTGAACCCCCTCCCACCAAGGCCTGCTCACACTACATATAGTAAAGAGCTGGGAACCTCCACCCACTCCTCACCCTCTTCAAATGACCCTCTGCCACAACCCAGGGCATCTCCCGGCCAATCCTTATTCCCTAGGCCACCCACTGAATCCACCTCCAAGCACAGCACCCTCCCCATTACTATACAGAAAAAGAGCCCGAGAATGCATGAATGGGGCAAATCCCAAAGGCCTTTTTAAAAACTACTAAGAGCTAGGTTGGGGCGGTCCGGGGACAAGAAGAGACTAGCAGCCCCCAGCCACGAAGTCGAAGTCCTGGAAGGCCGCTTGCTCGGTGGCCGTGAGGGGCCGAGCGTCCCGTGGTGGGGTCAGCGTGGGGGCCTCCCCTGTGAACTCTTCGTCAAAGTTGCTGACATCTGTGCGGCTTGACACTGTGGGCACGAAGGGCGGAGGCAGGCGACGGGCCAGCAGGGCGTCCCAGCCCAGGGTCTGTGAGGGCAGAGCAGGCTCAACAGGCTGACCCAGATCTCCCCAGGCTAGAGCCTCACCCCACTGCCCCCTGATCTCCTGAGTTTAATGAGTCACAGCATATAGTGGGGAACTGGGTGGTGCCTATGGGATCAAGGAGGTATGGTTGTATGGGGAGAACTGGACTTATACCCAGGGCAGTGCTCCCTACCTTGAAGTGGTGTAAGAGAGGGGTAGAAATGAAGGTGGGAGGGTGAGATGACAATGTTGGTGTGGAAAATGGGTCCTTAGGGGCATGGTCAGGTAGGGGGGTGCTTACCCTGAAGAAAGGCTGTTTTTTCACATCCTCTGCATCCCTCTCACTGGAACCCAACCTGCGTTCTGGATTCCGGCGCAGCAGCTGGAGGTGGTCACCCCATGTTAGTCTGCTCCACTCAGCCCAGGGCCCTCCCCAGGCCCACCACACCTTATGGAGTCCTCACCCTGCGCATGATGCCAATAGCTTCAGCTGACAGGAAGCGAGGATAACGAACCTCATCGTTGACAATGCTGTCAAATACCTCCTCTTCATCATCCCCTGGGAACGGGGACTATGGACAGGGCAAGCTGGTGTAAATTAAGCCCTCCTCTGACCACTCTACACCCAGCCCCTCCAAAACCCGCTACTCCAGCAGCAGATTCCCGTGGGTGCTGGCTCACATGGGAAGGCAAGCATACCCTTTTACAGATGTGGAAACTGAGGCCAGGGAGATGAAGTCATCTGCCCATGGAGGCACTTTTGATCCCACTGCAGGGTACATTCAGGTCCCAATATGGCGACCCAGGGTCTCACCTCACCAACCAGCATCTCATAGAGCAGCACGCCCAGCCCCCACCAGTCCACTGCCCTCGTGTAGGACGTGTCTGTCAGCACCTCTGGTGCCAGGAACTCTGGGGTCCCGCAGAACGTGCTGGTCCGGTCCCCATAGCCCATTCCTAGGGATAGCAGAGCAGTGAGGCTATGGAAGGCAGGGAAGGGTACCAGTTCTAGTCCAGCCTGGCATAGTGATAAGCACCCCTGTTCCAGTGTGGGGATAATTCCAATCCCTCCCCCACCCCTAATTCCCACAGGCAGCCCCTCAGATCCCAGCCCCACCCCTCAAGCCCAGCCCCACCCCTCACCCTCTTTGCAGAGGCCAAAGTCAGCAATCTTGACATAGCCCTCAGTGTCCAGGAGCAAATTGTCCAACTTCAGGTCCCTGAGAAGGGTTGAAGGGATGTAAAGAGGGATGGGTGGGATCTGGGTCCTGCCTGAAAGCTGAGGTTCCCAGATGGCAGAGCAGTCACGCATGAGCACCAGCACACCCACGCACGCACCTGTACACAATCTTGTGTTCATGGAGAAACTGCAGCCCCAGCACCACACAGGCAGAATAAAAGCTGGAGAAAAAAGCTGGTGTGAGGGTGCCGGGCCGACCAAGCCACATAAGCCTGGCTCCCACATCCTCAAAAGCCCCTTCTCAGAGCTCTCTGGACTCTAGGAGCTTGCAAGGCCGGAGCCTTAAGGCGAAGGGGTGGGGTGGGGTGGAGGTGGGGCTCACATAGCTCGGGGCTCAGAGAACACATCGCTGTGGATGTGTAGCATCAGGTCGCCTCCAGCAGAGTATTCCATCACGAAGCACACGTGCTCTGGTGTCTGGAAACAGCCAAACAGGTTCACCAGGAAGGGATGTCCTGCACTGGTCACTGCAGCCAAAATCCTCTTCTCACACATCAGGCTGGATAGGGTGGGGAGCAGGGCTCAGATACCTCAGCAGCTTCTCCCTCCTGCTACACCTACACTCCGCAGAGTTCTCATCAGATACTTGTCGAGGGCCTTGCATGGGTGTTCAACCTTCACAAGTTGCTTAATGTTTCTGAACCTCCTCTGCTGGAGTCTATCCTTGACCCTAGCATTTCCCCATCTTCCCAACCTCCATGGGGTAGAGAACCCAGTTTCTCTAGCTAGGAGTTGGTTCAGAAATGGAAAAATCAAGCCAAAAGGGCTCAATCTCAGGACTACTGGTGGAACTGTTAAGAAGGGCTATAGCTGGTGGGCAAGACTTAAACTGCTGGATGGGGGTATCTCATCCTGCATGAGAAGAACTACAACAAAGCCCATACACAGAAAACCAGAACTGAGAGACAGCATGTGGGTGCCTACATGCAGCCATGCCTGAAGGCAGAACACGCCTGGATTTTTCTGATCTAGAGCAATAAATTCCTCTATTTGCTTAAGCCTGTCTGAGATGGGTTCCTGCTTAATAAAAGGAATTCAGGGAGACTGGGGATGGTCTCAGTGCCTCCACGGGGCATTTACAGGAAGCCAGGCACTGTGCAGAATACTCAATGCATCCTCTCATTTAATCCACCTCTCCACCTCGTCTCGGGCCACAATGTCTCCTTTCTTCAAAGCCTTGATGGCAAACAGCTCCCCACTGGACCGGAATTCTGAGAGCAGCACCTGAAACCAGAGTTGGCAGCGGCAGCTTGAGCAGCCAGGCCAGCGTCTGGAAGTCTGGACTCCCAGCCCCCAAACTCTGTGCCCCGCACCTCACCTTCCCGAAGTGACCCCGGCCCAGCACTGCCAGAAATTTGAAATCTTCAAGGGTCAGTGGTGACTTCCTCAGAGGACTGTGGAGAGAGAACGCTGGTGTGGACAAGAATATTGAATGAGGTAATGGGTGGCGGGCAGTGTAGGGGTATCACCTGCATAGGGCGGGGCCTGGGATCTCCTTTGTCTCTGGAGACAGCTTTGGAGTGGTGGTAGTTTCCTGGATGGGGGAACTCTGCAGCCAAGAGAGGAAGTCAGAATGTGAGAAGTCAGAGGCAACCAGAACCACAACACCATCTTGTGACCTCACGCCTCCTCCCACTTGCCTCGTCACTCATTCCACCAGCCACAGTGTCCCTCTCTTTCTGTGCCTTGAACATGCCAGGCACATTTCCATCCCAGGACCTTTATACCAGCTGTTCCCTCCGTCCACAACACTTTCCTTTTCTCCAATACCTATACAGCTCTTCCCTAACCCCCGTTAGGTCTTTATTCATACGTAACTTTTGCAGGAGGTCAGTCAACTATCATATTAAATAATTAACAGAGGCCCTCTCTGGTGGCGCAGCGGGTTAAAGCACAGCACTGAGAATCTAAAGCCACTTCCGCATGAGTTCAATGCCCGCCTGCCCCGGAGGTGACCACATGGCGTGGCAGACCTCTCCTGACCCGCCCGCTGCTCCCCTCAGCAGTGTACTTCATCGATCTGCCTGTTCTGCTCCCCACTCTGTCTCTGGTGAAGCCTCTGGCCGCCCCTGAGCCTCTGGCCTGTACCCCAGTTCTGTATGCACAAATAAATAAATCTTTAAAAAAAAAAATAATTAACAGAACTCCCTAACATCCCCATCCCCTTTCTCTGCTTTATTTTTCTCCGTCATACATGCTGCAAATATAGTCATGCAGTATATAATAACGTTTTCAAAAATATTTATTTATTTATGCATACAAGAACTGGGGGAAAGGCTATAGGTATGAGGTGGTGAGAGGATTCATCAGAGACAGAACAGCAGATCTGCTGAAAGACACTGCTGAGGGGAGCAGCAGGTGGGCCAGGAGAGGACTGCTGCACCATATGGGCCACCTCCCTGGCCAGGGGTTGAACTCGTGCTGCAGTGGCTATGGATAGCCTCATAGTGCATGAGTTGGATTCCCTGCCAGGGAGCTGACCTCCATGGTGCAGCAGACCTCATCTGTCTCATCTGCTGCTCCCCTCAGCAGTATATTTCAGCAGATGTGTCTGTTCTGCCCCCACTTTGTATCTGATGAGTCCCCTCAGCCCCCCATACCTCTGGCCCGACCCCTCAGTTTTTTGTCTTTAAAGACTTGTTTATTTATGCATATAGAACTGTGGTACAGGATTAATAAATCCTTAAAAGAAATAAATTCAATCTGTGCAAATAGTGTATACAGTAGAAAGTCATCTCCTGCCGCAGGGCCCTTCCTAGACCCAGCTAATGCTAATGATAACCTGGGTATCTTTCTAGAGTTAGTATATACCCACACCAGTACAGACTCCACTTTTCTGCCCTCATGACCGAAAGTATTCCAATCTCCCACTGGGCAATCTGTCTTAGAAATCATCCTGAGCCAGCACAGGGAGATCAGCCTGATTTTTCAGAGCTGTATATCATTCCATGTCGTCAAGTACAGCCATGTATCACTTAACAAAAGAAACACATTCTGAGAAATGCCTCATTAGACAACTTTATACAAATTATCATAGAGATGTATGAGGATGCTGCCAGTGTAAATGCTGACTTGAAAGTCACTAGGCAGGGCCCTCCCTGGTGGCGCAGCAGGTTAAAGCACAGTACTACGAAGCTGGCAGAGGCCACCTCAGTGCCTGCCCTGGAGGTGACCCACATGGCGCAGCACATTTCTCCTTGTCTCCCCTGCACCTCCCCTCAGCAGTGTACTTCATTGATCCCCACTCTATGGTAAATCCTGTCACCACCCCTGCATCTCTGGCCTGTACCCCATTTCTATATGCATAAATAAATAAATCTTAAAAAAAAAAAAAGGCCCTCCCTGGGGGTGCAACAGGTTCAAGTGCAGACCTATGTGGCAGCTGCCTGAGCACAAGTTCAATCTCCATCCAGAGGTGACCCACATGAAGCAGCAGACCTCTCCTGACCCGCCCGCTGCTCCCCTGAGCAGTGTACTTCCTCAATCTGCCTGCTCTGCTCCCTACTCTGTCTCTGGTAAATCCTTTCAACACCCCTGTACCTCTGGCCTGCACCCCAGTTCTGTAAAATCTTTAAAAACAATAAAATAAAGTCACTAGGCAATAGGAATTTGGGGACCACCTATATGTGGGCCATAACTGACAGAAACATTACATGGCACATGACTGAGTTTAGTGCTTGCCCCTGATGCCAGTTTTGCTTCTCTGCCTACAGTAAGCTATAACTCTACATGTATTTCTGTCACATATGTGAATGTCTCGAGGGGAAGTGCTGGATCAAGGCAATGTCTGTTTTGAACCCAAGCAGCTGTGGCCAAAACACTATCCCGAGGAGGGGGGAGGGGGGAGAAGGGAGGGCCTTGGGTTCTCAAGATGCGGTCTGACCCTGCATCTTCCCCAGCATCCAATGTTAATTCAACACTATTTTTTGCCAAGCTCATCTAATTTAATGAGGTATCTTCTTCAATTAATGAATAATTGTTATTTTCATTTCTTTTTTTTATTACAGAAGTTTATTTTTACATCATTTTGTACATTTTTTTTATTTTCATTTCTTTTAAAAAGAAGGTATAAAATGCACTCAACAAGGTGGGCAAAAGGACCAGCTCTTACATACATGTCCATCCCTCAGTCCAGGGACTGGTGCAATCCATTTTTGGTACAGTCTGTGAGCTAAGGATGGCTTTTACATTTTTGAGGGACTGGGGTTGGGGAATAATCAGAAGAGTATTTCATGACCCTGATTAACACCAAGGTCATGATGGGTGGGTGGGTTTGACTATTTCATGATCCATGAAAGTGATAGGACATTCAGAGTCCACCAGCAAAGTGTTACTGGAATTCAGCCTTGTCCATTCGTGTCTGTATCATCTGTGGCTGCTTTCCACGACAGCAGCGTTGAGTAATTGTGATCAGACCATTTGGCCCACAAAGCAGGAAATATTGACTGTGTGGCCCTTTGTGGAAAAAGGCACCAACCTCTGACCTAGATCAAGATGCAGGTCCTCTGCATTACAGCGGCAGGCTCCCCGTGCCCTCCTATCCACAACACTCTCTGTCCCCATGAAAATGCCCCTGGGGAAGCTCTTACTGTCTATCATCCACATGGCTTTTGAACATGTCTCTTCTGCCAGGTAGTGCACTGAGCACACAGAGATGAAGTTGCTCGCCCTCCACTACACAGCAAGGAGGTGCCAGAGTCAGGATAGGAACCCATGCAGCCTGATTTCTGAGCTCACATTCTGATCCAGGATGAAAAATTTGGCTCCATCTGACAGACATACATTGTATGAGCCAGCAAAGTTGCTGGCAACCTCTGGGTTTGGTGCTGGGAAGGAAGACTGGAGCAGAGCCCTGTGATACCACCCAGACCAAGCCTGGGATCAGACGGGGATACTCACTGGGCTCAATGCACTGGAAAGAGGATCCAGAGGGCTCTTCTGGGGTGAGCTATCAGAATCAACCCCAAGGTTCAGCTTCTCCACGGATATGTCGCTACAGCACAAGAGAGGATGGCTTGTCTGGGACCCAGCACCCTGGGAAGTAACCAGGGACAGCTGAGACTCCCACGCCCTCCTTCCTTACCCCATGGGCCGGGCCTCAGGTCCTGAAGAAGCCCCAGGACTGAAGGTGCCTGTGGCTGTGGTGTTGGGGATGAGCCTCCGCAGCAGTCGCACCCACGTGGCAACATCAATGTTCATCTGTCTAGCGCGCTGGAAGGCCTTCCCTGGGGGACAGGGACAGGTGTTACCTTCTGTGACACTCCCAGGACCCCTAGGCTCTCCCCTCTCCAACTCCCCCCTCACCTTGCTGCTTGGAGAAGATCTTTTGCCGTCTGAGCCGGGGTATCCTTTCGATGACAGGGTTATGGAAGGTGACCTGGGAAGAGGGGCCAACAGGTAAGGCCCCTCACCCACAACCAGGCAGCTGGAGCGCTGGAGTGCATAGGTGTGCACATATGTTCCGAACACTGTGGCATCACTTCTAACCAGAGTATTAGGCAATTAACAAGTGGTTCATCAGGGCCATCTCTGAAGTGCCATCTTAGAAAAGCAAGAAGCAGGCAACCAGGCCCTCCTGAGGGGTGAGGAGGAGGTCTGACCCACGCAGATATCCATGCAACTCCAGCCAAAATGTCCTACGTACACAGGGTCCTGATTCCCCAAGTGTGGTGTCAGCCCAGCAATAGCAGCATCACCTGGTAAGTTCCTGGAAATGCAGGCTGTTGGGTCCCCACCTAGACCCACTGAATCGCAAACACAAGGGTAGGGCCCAGCCATCTGTATTTCCACAAGCCCTCCAGGTGATGCTGGTGCCCACCCCTCTGGGGAAACCACTAGTTGAGTCGAATTCTTCCAACTCCAATACATCTTCCAGAAGGTGCTAAAGTCACAACAACTGTGATTTTTATGTGTGTTCTATAGGGTGGCTACTAGCCATGCGTGGCTGTATAATTTAAGTGAAGTGAAAACTTCAGTTCCCCAGTCACACTTCAGGAAGCTGGCAGTGATTCTACTGGACAATGTGGATAGAGAACACTTCTGTCTATGAAAGAACTCCACGTCTACAGGCTCCTTGACAACAGAACTGCAGAGCGTTCTATAGGCTAGCACTTGGGAAAGGCAGAAAAAACCAGAATGCTCTAAGGAAACCCTGCAGGCTAGCAGGGCTGTTTCAGACCTGCCTCCGGGTTGCCTACTGCCACCCTCCATGGGGTTTTGAACAGTCCTCCAAACAAAAGAATCACCCATTGCCCTGCCATGTGAAGTCACCCCTCTGTTGGCTCCTCTCCTCCAGTGGTCCTCAATTAGATCATGTAAGAATTTCCACATGGGGAAATGGATACAGGCAGAGGAATCAGGGTATACATATATATCTTCAGGGAAATTTTAAAGAGTATTTTAGGATAATTTTAGTTAAATAAGGGGACCATGACTTTCCTTCTCTGTGCCTCAGTTTCCTCTTCTGTCACATGTGACAACAGCTCCTCTTTCACTGGGTTATCCTGAGGATTCATTCCTTGGTTAACCCCAGCAAAACACTTAAAAGGGAGGTTGGCTCTCCACCAGGGGGCTCTGGCAATGTCTGGAGACATTTTGGGTTGTCACAATTGGGGGAGAAGGTACTACTGACATTCTGAGAAAACCAGAGGTGTTGCTCAGCAGCCCACAATGTGCCTCATGGTACCTGCTATGGAGAATATTCAGCCCACAGGTATCTGGACACTAACCCTATAATACCACTACAGGAATCTACTCAGCTGTGGCCCTGGTAGCAATTTCCATTACATGTTACCAGACTTTTTTTTTTTCTTTTTTTTTGTGACATCTTAAAAAAATAATCTTGCCTTAGAACAAAACCAATTCCAACCTAAGTCATGTCACTGATGTGGCTAATTATACACACTCTCCCATCCCTTTTCCCTATATGTAATTTTCTATCAAGTTTCAGAGACCAGTAGATAACATGCCTTCTCTAGAAAATTGGGAAGAGGAGATGCACGATGTATTTTTTCAGGACCAGGGGTTGTTTGTACCTCGGCTATCAGGCAGCCCTGTGGTTCCATATCCAACTGCACCTCATGCCTCTCATTGTCCAAGAAATCCTCCAACTTCAGGAATTTGAGGGCACACAGGCCCCGCTGGTCCCGCCAGAACACTGCTAACTCCAGTTCTCGTGCCTCAAGGAAAAGAAAGAGGACCATCACTTGGTGTGCCCAGGTCCAATGCTCCTCCCTTCTCCAAGCCTGGCTTTCCTCCAACCTAGCTCACCCTCTCCAGCTCCAGAGTAAAGCTCTGGTCCCAGGCGTTGGGGCCACATGGCTTCCAAGACGTCTGCCCCACCACTGTGTTATCCAGCTTGAGTACAGTGCTAACTTCACCTGGAAGAGAACAGGGGTAGATGTGGGGTGTCAGGGAATGTTGGGGGAATAGCTCTTATATCTTATAAAGAGGTCATTCCCCTCCCCCATAGCATTTTGTTATCTATCTTGACAAAACTTTTAAGGTTTTGCCTTTCATGTTAAGATCATTAATCTATCTCCAGTTGATTTTTATGTATGGTGTGAAGTAGGGATCTACTTCACTTTTATTCTATATGGAAGTTCTGGCATCATACTCCTAGAAAAATGCATGCAAGTATATTTCAGAAGATGTACAGATAAAAAGGTTATAAAATGTTCCCAAAGTAAAAATATCTCACTGTCCATTAACAAAAGAATTAACATATAAACTATATCATCTTTTTATCTGAACCATGCAGTTATTTATATTCAACTATTTTCATTTTTAAAAAAGACAGCAATTTAAAAAAAAACAGCAATTTTATATGGCTCAGTCTAACACATGGATGATTAATCAAGAGTAAAAAATGAAAAAATATAGTTTGAGACAATATGGGTAGGTCTCCCCTAAAAAGCTGAAGGAAAGCAGCTTTTACCGTGGAATACATTCTGTATGATTTACCATGGAATACATTCTGTATGACTCCATGTATATGAAGTTTTTACCATAGAATACATTTTGTATGATTCCATGTATATGAAGTTCAAACACCAGGCACAACTAAGCTGTATCATTTTGAGATGTACACATGTGCTAAAACTATAAAGTAAAGAGGCCCTCCCTGGTGGCGCAGCGGGTTAAAGCACTGCACTAAGAAGCTAAAGCCACTTCCGCATGAGTTCGATCCCTGCCTGCCCCAGAGGTGATCCACATGGCGCCGCAGACCTCTCCTGACCCGCCCGCTGCTCCCCTCAGCAGTGTACTTTGTCAATCTGCCTGTTCTGCACCCCACTCTGTCTCTGGTGAATCCTCTCATCCTCCGCATCTCTGGCCTGTAGCCCAATTCTGTACGAATAAATAAATAAATCTTAAAAAAAAAAACAAACTACAAAGTAAAGTAAGGAAGTAATGATCACAAAAGGCAGGAGAATAGCTATTTCTAGCCCCTTCCTATTTCTAGAATAGGAAGGGGCTAGAACTGGGGAGATGGCAGGAAGGGTTCCTAGAGAATTCTATTTTTTTTTTTAAAAGATTTGTTCATTTATTCATACAGAGCTGGTGTACAAGCCAGAGGTGCAGGGGTGGTGAAAGGCTTCCCCAGAGACAAAGTGGGGAACAGAACAGGCAGATTGACAAAGTACACTGCTGAGGGGAGCAGCGGGTGGCTCAGGAAAGGTCTGCTGTGCCCTGTGGATCACCTCTGGGACGAGTGATCAAACTCGAACTGAAACGGCTGTAGCTGGCTTGTAGTGCTGTGTCCTAACCCACTGTGCCACCAGGGAGGGCCCAAGAGTTCTATTTCTTAACCTAGATAGTGATAACATGGTTGTAGGCTTTATTATTATTCTCCTTTTAATACATATGTGTGTGTATTTTAGTTCTGGCAAATTTCATATAACATAAAATATACCATCTTAACTATTTTTAAGCATCCAGTTCAGTGGTACTAAGTATGTTTATGCTGTTATGGAACCATCAACCACCATTCATTTCCATACTCCTCAATTCCCCAAACTGAAACTATGCCCCCACTAAAAATTCATTCCCTTTCTCCCTCCCCTCAGGCCTGACAACTAGTATTCTATCATTGCAAATTAGATTACTTTAAATACCTCCTAATTGGGACCATAAGTTATTTGTCCTTTTGTGTCTGGCTTATTTCTTTAGTGTAATGTCTTCTCAAGTTTGCCCATACTGTATGTGTCAGAATGCCCTTCATTTATCTATTCACCTGTCAACAGGCACTGGGGGTGCTTCCCTCTTTTGACCATTGTGATTAACACTACAATGAACATAGATGTACAATAATGTTCGTGTATATCTCCTTGAGATCTCTTCTGGATATGTATCAGAAGCAGGATAGCTAGATCATCTGATAATTCCACATTTAATTTTGTAAGAACCTACCACACCGTTTTCCACAGTGGCTGTACCATTTTTACATTGCTACTAGCAGGGCACAATCATTCTAGTTTCTCCACAAACTCACCAACTCTGGTTTCATTTTATAGTACCCATCTTATTGAGTATGGTATAATGGCTTTTTTCAAAGTATTAGAAATGTGGGCCCTCCCTGGTGGCACAAGGGTTAAAGCGCAGTACTATGAAGCTGTCCTCAGCCACTGCAACACGAGTTCAATCCCCAGTCCGAGAGGTGACCCACATGGCACAGCAGACCTCTCCTGTCTCGCCCACTGCTCCCCTCAGCAGTGTATTTCAGTCAATTTGCCTGTTCTGCTCCCTACTATGTCTCTGGTGAATCCTCTTACCTCTACCCCCGCCGCCCACACACACATCTGGTCTATACCCCAGTTCTTGTATGCATAAATAAATAAATCTTTAAAAATGAATAAAGTGTTAGAAATGTGGAGCATCCCAGGTCTCCCCCACCACTTCACCCCTCCAAATTCTCATGCGTACTCACTGGAGCTCTCAGCTTCAGGTTTAAGGCTGCTCCGGCCACTCAGACTTCCACTCCGACTGTAAAGGCCCCGGGCTGGACGGCTCAGGAAGGGGGTACGGCTGTCAGGGGTCCCAGGTGCCCCCACCGAGGGTGAGGGATTCCAGGGGATGGTCTCTGGAAGATCTCTGCAGCCAACCATGCGTACCTTCAGGGTACCTGAGAGAGGGGTGGGCTAAGCGGGGAAGCCACATCTGTGGCAAGCTGAGAAGCGGTCAGCATGCAAATGGGAGCTGGAAAAGGACAAGCAGAGTGCAGCTGATGGGGTGGCTGATGCAGGTCTGGGCCCACATGTGAGGAAAATGGGACAAGGGATGGGGGGTAGAAGGCAGCCCAGACTGGGCAGAGGCTCTGGACACTGAGGTACAGAGAGAGAGAGGTTCGGGGCCTATGTGTAGGCAAGGGGGGGGAGCAGGACAGGAGTCAGCGGGCTGATCTAGGTACTGGTATGGGGTCTAGTCTGGTGAGGTATGACTGGGGGCTTCAAGGGAGGTGAAGCAGTCTGAAGGGGATGGGCGGATTCGGAAGTTTAGGGCTAAGGGTTTACAGAATGGGGGGGGGGGCGGAGGGAAAAGCCAGGGCCAGGTGGGAAAGCAGAGAAAGTGAGGATGGTGGGGGCACGGGCAAGAGCTCAGAATCAGAGGACAAGTAGAGCTGGACATCCAGGGTGAAGGGTCTGTAGAAATGAAGTACAGAACTACAGGGCTGGAGTGAACCAAGAAGGGAAAAACAGCAGGATAGATAGGTTCCAGGGCTGGGGAGAGTGAAGAGCTGGAGGTGCAGGGTTGGGTGGTGAGGAGGAAGCTGAGTCTTGAGCTTCAGGGTGTGGGTTCAGCAGGAACCTGGGACTCAGGACCCACCTGTGAGCGGGGCAGGCTTGCACAGAGTGCTGTAGTGAGTAGCAGGGAAAGGCCCAGCCAGGCGCGCACTGAAGGCTGGAGAGGAGGCTGCAGCAAGCTCCTCACGTAGCAGCCGCCCCTTGGGGTGGTCGGCTGGCAGTTCCCCTAGGCGCCGCTCCAGTGCCTCCCGAAGGAGCCCCAGCTTCTGGTTTGACTCGGTCAGCTTCTCCTGGGCCTGTGTTGTGGGGGATGGTATTGGGGAAGGGCCTGGACACACCCCTCCCCTAAACTAGCTAGGTCTCACAGGGCTCCTTCACCCAGGAGGTCAAAGCCCTCCACCTCCAACATGGGAGGCCAGAAAACCAGGCTCTGCCCTTTGCTGATGCCCCACCCTTTGCCGAGGTCTGACCTCACTAGGAACCACCCCTTCGCAGAGGAACCACCCCCATCAAGGCCCTGCCCTTTGCGGGAGGCCCAGCCTCCACCCCAGCCGAGGCGACACACAGTCTTCGGGCCTCCCGGGCCGGCCCCGCCCCTTATCGAAGCCCACCCACTTCCTCACCTCGCTGACGGCCTTGCGGTCTGGGGCCTTGGCAGCGCTGAGCAAACGGAGCACATTCTTAGCGCCCTCTGCCACGGCATGTTCCACTCGGAAGTGGTGTCGCAGCTCCTCAATACGCAGCTCCACGGCTCCCAGGTCTGGGCTCCCTGTAGGCACGGGACACGGGGAAGCGAGGCCAGCTCAGGACCTGGGTCAACCAGCCCAGTCCCAGACACGCAGCCACCCAGGGGAATGGGCCGCAGACACCTTGCCATCCACATGCACTGTGTTTCTCCCAAGGGGACAGAGTGTCTTGATGAGGCTGTCCCCATCACCTGCAGGCATCCTCTCATTTCAGTCATTTCACCCAGCCGTGGTCACTATTTAATCCAAACACCATCACCAAAGGGAGGGGTCAGAGTTTCAGCTATCCTGCCCCTATCACACAGGGGCAGTTCCTTACACAGGCACACTGTCAATACAGGCTTAGAGGGGGACATGTGTCCCAAGTCCCACTTCATCCCCAAAGGCCACCAGGAGCAACTGGACAGTCACAAGGATATAGTCACAGAGACACAGGGTCACTTCTTAAAAATAGCAACTTTTTATTTATTGCTGATAGCACACAGATTGCTTCTAATGGAGGCAATTTGGCCACATCTATCAAAATCACAAGTATATTTATCCTATGATTCAGCAACTCTAGTTCAACTATTTCATCCCATAGAAACATATGTGTACTTCATTTAGGTACACAGTTATTCACTGCAGCCTTCTTTTAAAAGCTAAAGAAGATTGGTAACAACCCAATTTCCTCAGTTAGGAGGTCTGGATAATGAACAATAATCACCCACATGATGAAACAGAGTGTGTAGTTGGGAGAAGGGAGACACTATCACTCAGAGAGTGTGTGTGTCACTCAAGGGTTACAGTGCATTATTGTTCTGTTACCAATGCAGGCACACTGTCACCCACAGGTAGAGGAACACACATTCACAATGATGCAGTCACACTGTCAAACAGGGACTTTGTCATGGGCAGAGGGATGTGGTCGTGAGACACAACAACCCTCATAGACACAACACACTGGCCCCGGGAGAATCACAGGCACTCACTGCACTGCCCCATGGATAAGGCATGAGGCCAGACAAAGAAGTGCCATCACACAGTCACATAGGCAGGACAGTGTCGCCAAGACCCAGAGACTTAAAGAGCCTGGATGCTACGTCCAGTGTGAAGACACAGGGTGTGGCCTGATACAGGGTGTGGCTACAGTCATCAATGGCACAGACACAGGCAGAGAGCCATGCTGTCACCGTGAAGCACGGGGGCACAGTCACACTTATGTGTAGATTCCAGATACAGTCTAACATCTCTGTACAATGACCCAAATTCAAACCCTGACTCTTAGTCATACTGTCACCTACAATGGTAGGCACTTATCCTGACAGAATCACAGGAACCATGACATTCATGGCACTTTATATTACAAACACAGTCACACGCTCACCCTCAGGACTGCTGTTGCATGTAGTCAAGGACTTTATACTCACATGGGCAAAGTCACACTATCACCCAGAGTCCATGATCACACACCACACATGATCACTGAGATACTCACAGTCACTAGCACCTTTCCCACAAAAACACACACTTTGGCATGTGAGTTACAAGACTCACTGGTAGGGTCTGAATGCTTCTGTCCCCCAAAATCCACACACTGAAACCCAACTACCAAGATGATGATACTTGGAGGTGGTAGCTCTTGCAGTGATTAAGTTAAGAGGGTGGAACCCTTCTGAATGCAACCAGAGTCCTTATAAAGGGGACTGCAGAGCACTCCTTCCCTCCCTCCTCCTGTCATGTGAGGACACAGGGAGAAGATGCTGGGTAGGCATCAGGAGATGGCTCCTCATCAAATGCTGGATTGGCCGGGGCCAATGTCGTGCCTCCAGAACTGTGAGCAAGAGATGTGTGTAAGTTCCCTGGTCTATGTTCTGTTACAGCAGTCTAAGCAGACTGACCACAAAAGCTGACACTCCTGTAGTTCTCATAGTGAAACACAGGCTAACACTGCTGCAACTCCTGGTCCCACAGTCAAAGACATGTTAATATTGACACAGACACCCTCACACACAGTTATTCGCTGCTTGACAACAGGGTCTGAGAAATGCAACATCAGGTGAGTTCACTGCTGTGCAAACCTTACAAAGTATACTTCCACAAACCCAAATGTTACAGCCTACTGCATATAACTATACACCTAGGTTACACACAGGGGCCACTGTTGCCTAAAACGTTGATGTGTAGCACATGGTTATACATCAAGACCCTGTCACAAATTTAGGCTGATGTTGGGCTGAGACACCACCAGGCATTCACGGAGACACACACAGAAACATACACAAGCCGCTGGCACTGCCACACAATGGGGACCAACATGACAAGACAAGCACCTAGTCCAGGGTCCAGAAATTTTTTCCCATAAAGCCCAGAGTAAATATTTTCAACTTCGCACAAAATGCACCACTACCTGGCTTTTGAGCAGCAGCTCAAAAGCAGCTTTAGCTGGCAGCAAATGAATGGGAGTGGCTATGTGCCAATAAAAAAGGCTGCTGCTGGGATTTGGCCCAGGGGCTGTAATTTGTCAATACCTGATCATGTACAAACCCCAAGGGAGAAACCAAGGTCCAGAGATCATCAGAATGGAGTTCTAGTCTCACAGGGATTCACAGCACCTACCTCACTGCTCCAGAAAGGGCGCCCTCATTGGGGCTAGAAACTACTCTTCCCAGCAGAGCACAGGCAAGACTGTCTCAGGGTGAAGGGCTCACCTTGGGCTTCATCTGGGGTCACCGGGTTCTCAAGCTGGCCCGCCTGTAATGCCCGGCGGAGCTGCATGCGGATGATGTCGATCTTGGTCTTACTGTCCTGCAGCATCTGCTGGGCTGTCAGCAGCAGCTTCCGGTCCTGGAGGTAGATACAGCCCAGAGAGGAAGGCTGGTAGCTAGGGCCTAACGGCCAGTGCTAACGTGCAGGCACGGAGTAACCACACAACAGCGGGTTCGTGCATGGATATGACAATGTACATGCCTTCCTGGTGTGAAATGAGGCAGCTCATGGAGCCTGAATCATATGTTGTGTGACTCCAGGCAATCAATTCTTCCTCTCTGGCCCTGCTTTCTTATCTGCAGAGTGGGAACACTAATAGCACCAATACCCACTGGGCAAAGGATTGCCGGGGCTCATCTGTATGTGGGGCTGAGAGTTATGACTGGCAGCAGCAGGCATCCCCTGTGTCAGCTGTCAGAGGTGCTTGCACGGGAGTGTAGTTCCCTGGCGGCTGTAGCCCTGTAGCTGGGGTGACTGGGTATGTGTGTGAGTCCATGGTAAGCAGGGGTCCAGTTATTTGTGGGTGTTGACAAGCCATGGTCATGAGGAGAACAAGCCCAGGACCCTGTTGTGCAAATGCTAGAGTCTGGTTGTGGATATTTTCCATCGTTTTGTGCTATGTTCACATTTAGGTAAGACACTGAAAGATATTTGTATTTATTCTATTCATGTTTGCCCCAAGAGGCAGAAATTGGTTCTTAGGGAGTGAAAAAATTTTACTCTTTTTGTGAATAAAGTACAGATATGCACCCACAGATAAACATGTGATCTGTTTAAAAATTTCATAGGAGAGTATTCAAATACTTGTACACAGCAGTGTAACTGCCAAAAGGTGGAAACAACCCAAATGTCCATCAATAGATGGATTTATAAACAAAATATGTTAAAACCATACTACAGAATATTATCCAGTCATAAAATGAAATAAATACTGATACACAGTATAATACCACAAGGATGAACCCTGAAGATACTCTGTTACGTGAAATAAGCCAGACAGGGGGCATATTGTATTTCTATGAAATGTCCAGAAAAGTTAGATTTATATAAAGAGAACTCAGATGAGTCATTGCCAGGGGCTGAGGGAGTGTTATTGGGAGGGATGGCTAATGGGGTCCTTTGGGGTGATGAAAAGTTCTAGAAGTAGACAGAGGTGCTGGTCACACAATACAGTGAATATACTTAAATGACACTGAATAGGTCCCTTTAAAATAGTTAAAATGGTATACTTTATGTTATTGGCATTTTAGTATGAAAATAAAATTCAGGGGGTGAGGTTATTATGAAAAAAAAAAATGTCTGAAAAGCCTACTTAGGGAAGTGATAATTTAAAAAGGGTTGAGAAACATTTGCTCAGATTCAGAGGTATACATTTGTTTCTTCAACAAGACCACTTAGTAGTGCCTATTCTATACAACAAATGATTCAAGCTGCCTATTCTGGCACATACATATGGCACATAAGCCTGGCACCCTGCCTCTGAGGTAAAATCTATGACCAGTGGTTCCAGGGCCTATGTCCACTCTGTCATGGAATTGAAACTTCCAACCCTAAAAATGCAGCCCCTGACTCATGGTCAGTCAGCAGCCATAGGAGCTGAGAACCATGTTCCTGGAGGGGATCCTTAGCCCAACGTGGGCATTTCCAGAGGGGAAAGAAAGGGAGGCGTGACTCTATTTGTACAAAGGTCCAAAGTACCAAAGTAAACCTTCAGTGAAAGAGCCTGGGTATTGACTGAAGGAGGCAGGAGACAACTTTATGAATGACTAGAAATGTTCTGTACTTTGATATTGGTGGTAGAAAGCAGATAAAAATTCATCAGGTTGGACCTCCCTCGTGGTGCAGAGGTTACAGTCAGCACTGTAAAGCTACCAGCAGCCACTGCAGCATGAGTTCGATCCCCGGCCAGGGAGCTGACTCCCATGGCACAGCAGACCTCTTTGTCTTGCCTGCTGCTCCCCTCAGCAGTGTATTTCAGTAGATCTGCCTGCTCTGCTCCCCACTTAGCCCCTGCACCTCTGGCCTACACCCCAGTTCTTGTGTGCATAAATAAAAATAAATCTTTAAAAAAAAAACTATGAAAAAAATTCATCAGGTTATACATGTACATTTTCTGCACTTTACGTCTATACATAACACCTCAATAAAAGGTTAAAAAAATCTACGTGTTCTGTGTCCTCCCGTACAGTATTTACATTTGTGTGCATACACAGGGCATGGGTGTTCTCCTGACAGTGGGTACACAGGTCTCAGATTGTAGGTATGGCTGTGCCTGTCTGCAAGCATCCTTGGGTGCTGGTGGAGACCTGTGAATATGTTCATGGCGTTGACAGGATTATAGGGTGTATGTGTGGCAACACCAACCTCTAGGTGTGAATTTAATGTTCCAGTATAATTATGCTGGCTATTTGATGGTATATGTGTGTCTGGATTTAGAGCTATGTACCTCGTAAGTATTGTTACTGCTATCTATATAATATATGATGGGATCTCTGTGTGTCTAGATGGGATGACCATGGTGTGTGTGCCGTCTGCCTCTGTGTACATGTGTCAGAGAGAGAACCTCAGCAGTGAGAGGCAGCCTGTTGCCCTGAGCATGGATACCCTTGAGTCTCTGGGAAAGCAAGTGTGAGGGACAATCTCTGATACCACCCATAATCACCCTATCTTCTATAACCCCCTGAGCCACCTAAATCCAAGTCTTCTTCCCAGTCATCCATCAGCCCCTCTGGCTCCAGCCAAAAGGGTCCAGGCTGCCCATGGGGGCAGATGCATACAAGCCACAGCCCCGCCAGCCTGTGCTCACAGGTGTGTGGATGTGGGAGTGTGCACACACGCTGCCCCACCTTGGTGCTTCCGTTGCTGTATGTCTGGATCATGTTTTCCGCCCCTTGCTTCACCTTCAGCTCAATGGCCAGTTGCTTCTCCAGGCCAGCCACACGGCTCAGGTTGGTGGCTGAGCAGGCAGGGCCACCTGCACCAGGGGACTGAGGAGCATCTGCAGAGGGTGAGTGACAGAGTCAGCATGACCCTCACCTCCATCTGCCCAGGAAGCTTTGCTCCATGAGAGAATCCACCCTCCGCCCTGCTTGGACTCTGCCCCAAGGCCTAGGAAGGAGGAGCCCAAGGGCCAGAGGTAAATCACCTCCCTCACAGGGAGACTTCCTTAGGGCTAGGGCAGGACTAGCACTAGTGAGCACAGGCAAATGATCCACGGCGTTGAGTCCCTTGTGTTAGTGTGACTGTGAACAGAAGTCCTGAGATTTACATAGCTTAGAGGGTATCTGTGGATGTCACTATGCTTGTGACTGCAGCACTGGAGTAACTGAGCCAGTGTGTCTCCCTCGGCGCCAATGGTACTATGTAAAATGCCAGGGACTGGAATGGCTATGTGAGATTCTGGGTGCTGAGTGATTCTATGACATTTCTGACTGTTGTCACAACTGTGTGTTTGGATTTCTAGGTGCTGGTATAGCTGTGTTTGGGTGTTGATACAGCCAGAAACGAGTGTCTTTGGGTGCTGGCAGAGTTCTGCGACTCTCTGGGAAGTGGTGTGACTATAGAGGGACTCAGGGTGTTATATGATCCTATGAAATTCTAGGTGTTGACTGAACTCTCTTCCATCACTGAGAACTACTGTGACTAAGTCAGTACCCCATTATTGACATAGCCATGTGTGTAGAAATGTTGGCTGTGGGTGTAAGTGTTGAATCTTCAGGTCTTGCCTTACTGTGCATATAAGTCTGTGACAGGACTATGAGCATCTGTAAGGGTCTAGCAGTTGTATGTGTGAATCCCTGGGGATTGGTGTGATTACATGTGAATCTCTGGGTGTTATCTGTGTGTTGGTGTGACAACATGTCCCTGGGTATTGTGTAGCAATATGAAAGTCTCCGGTGATTATGGGACTCTGTGTGAGTAGCTGTTCATGTGATAGTGCCTAGGTCATTGGTTGTTGTGAGGGTTTCTGACTACTATGTGTGATATGTGTAAGGGTTATGGATGCCAGATGAAAAGCCCTGCAGATCCCTGTACAATAACGTGAATATTCTTAAAACAACTGAACCATATACTTAATGGTATATTTTATGTCTTTTTTTATTTTAAAGATTTATTTATTCATACAGAACTGGGGTACAAGCCAGAGGTGTATGGGCAGTAAAAGGCTTCACCAGAGACAGAGTGGGAAGCCGAACAGGCAAATCAATGAAGTATACTGCTGAGGGGAGAAGCGGGCAGATCAGGAGAGGTCTGCCACTCCATGTGGATCACCTGCAGGGCTGGGGATGGAACTCTCACTGAAGTGGCTGCAGCTAGTTTACAGTGCTGCGTCTTAACCCACTGCACCACCAAGGTGGGCCTATTTTATGTCTTTTTTTTACAATTAAAAATGTTAAAATAAAAATAAAAGAAATTTTCAATGGGGCCCTTCCTGGTGGTACAGTGGGTTAAAGTGCAGCACTGCAAGCTAGCCACAACCACTTCGGTGTGAGTTCAATCCCTGGCTGTGGAGGTGACCCACAGGTACAACAGATCTTTCCTGTCTCTCCCACTGCTCCCTTCAGCAGTGTACTTTGTCAATCTGCCCACTCCGTGTCTGGTGAATCAATGCCCCTAAACCTCTAGCTTGTACCCCAGCTCTGATTGCATAAATAAATCTTTAAAAAAAAAAAAAAAGAAAGAAAAAAAGAAAGAAATTTTCAGTGGGACCTTCCTGATGGTTCAGAGGTTAAAGTCTCAGTGCTATCAAGCTATCAACAGCACTGCAGCATGAGTTTCATCCTTGGCCAAAGAGTTGACCCACATGACGCAGCAGACCTCTCCTATCTTGCCTGCTGCTCCCCTCAGCAGTATATTTCAGTACATCTACCTGTTCTGCTCCCCACTCTATCTCTGGTGAATTCTATCACCTGCTGAACCTCTGGCCTACACCGTTTTTGTATGCATAAATAAAAATAAATTCTTGGGCCCTCCATGGTGGCACAACGGGTTAAAGCATAGCACTGTGAACTCAGCCACTGCAGCACAAGTTCAATCCTCAGCTTGGGGGGTGACCCACATGACATGAGGGATCTCTCCTGAACCACCCACTGCTTCCCTCACCAGGATATTTCAGTCCATCTGCTTATTCTGCTCCCCACTCTGCCTCTGGTGGATACTTTAGCCCCCACACCTCTGGTCTGTACACAGTTCTTATATGCGTAACAAGTAAATCTTAAAATTTTTTTTTCTTTAATTTTTCTTTTATTATTTTTAAAGATTTATTTAGTTATGCATACAGAACTGGGGTACAGGCCAGAGGTGCAGGAGCAGTGAAAGGATTCACCAGAGACAGAGTGGGCAGCAGAACAGACAGATCAATGAAGTACACTGCTAAGGGGAGCAGCGGACGAGACAGGAGAGGTCTGCTGTGCCACGTGGATCACCTCCAGGGCTGGGAATCAGAATCGCACTGAAGTGGCAGCGGCTGGCTTACAGTGCTGCATCCTAACCCTGTAGCACCGCCAGGAATTAATTAAATTTAAATTAAAATTATTTTAAATGTTCTTTTTATTATTTTTTAATTTTTTAAAAGATTTATTTATTATGCATACAAGAACCCAGGTACAGCCCTGAGGTGCAGGGGGTGAGAAGATCCACCAGAAACAGAGAGGGGAGCAGAACAGGCAGACTGATAAAATACACTGCTGAGGGGAGCAGCAGATGGGGCAGGAGAGGTCTGTCACATTGTGTGGGTTACCCCCAGGCCAAGGATCAAACTCATGCTGCAGTGGGTGTGGATAACTTCACAGTACATGCTTTAACCTGTTGTGCCACTAGGGAGGGCCCCCCACAATTTTTGAGAGAGTTTTTGGGTATCATCTGGGGGTGGTAATGACTACATTTCTAGGTATTTGTGTGACAGTGTGTGTGGCTTTGAGTGTTGTCTTGGAGATTGCTGAATGTGAGATTCTGGGTAACTGCCTTTGAGTATGCATGCAATGCCATGTAAGTTTCCAGATGTCATCCAGGTGTTGATGTGACTGTGAGTTTAGATGTTAGTGTGACTGTATTGTTTCTTTTTTTTTTTCACATTTCAAAAGGACAGGTTTATTAGGATAAAGAGAAAAAAGCAAGAGGCACCTGCTTAGTCACAGGCAGACAAGAGAGTTACCAACCTGACAGATAAGCATGGAACACTAAATTTCTGGGCATGATTTAGTGTTGGCACAATCGTGTCTTCGGGTATTTATACGACATGTAAGTTCTCTGGTGGTGCGCAGGTGTTGATGTGAGTATAGATATCCAGGTAAAACTTTGAGTACGTATGGAATACCATAGGTTTCGGGGTGGCACCCAGTGTTGTGTGGCTGTCAGTCTTTAGGTATCTGTGCGACAGTGTGAAGTCTCTAGGTGTTGTTGCCACTGTCTGCCTTAGGTACTTGTGCGATACTGTGCAAGTGCTCTGGTGCAGTTTGGGAGTTGTGCCTGTGTGAGCCGAGACAGTCACGGGACACTGTGCAAATCCTTTGACTTTGTCTGCGTGTTGGCATAACTGTATGCATTTTTCTGGATGCTGTTCTCGTGTTCCCTCTGCCTATATTTTGAAACTCAAACTTGTCGTGATTGACAGGAGACAGTGAAGATGGGGTTGGCCTCACCCCAGGCGACTGTGGGTGCCTCAGGTAGCAGGACCATGAAGTCTCACTCTGAGGGAAACCCTACTCACCGTGGGTGGCTGCAGGGTCAGGCAGCACTACGTGGGCGTGCAGCTCCTGCAACTGCTGGTGCAGCAGGTCCAGGCGGCGTGAGGAGCCACGCAGCAGCAGCTCCACGGGGCCCAGGCTGCGGCCCAGGTCAGTGGTGGCCCGCCGCAGGTTCTCAGCACCCTCCTTCAACTTCAGCTCCTTGCGGATCTCCCGCCGCAGACGCTCCCGTTCGAGTTCCAGCTGCTGCTGCACCCCAGGGGCTGCCAGGTCTGCACCTGCTAGGCCCAGCTGCTCCAACAGGGACCAGCCACGTGGTTCACTCTGCAGGGAATGGAGTAGGGTCAGTGGGGCCAGGAGGGCTCTGGGCTGCACAGCGCACTGAGCCTCACCCTCTCCTGGGCTGGAACACCCACAACAGGGACCACTCTGTGTATGAGACAGGCCCTGTCCCTGTTTCCTGATGCCCCCAAACTAGAAAGCCAGGGTATTCTTCCTTTTTTGCCCTATTAGTCTAGAAGACCCCATAGCCACATCTCCCTTTACCTTCCTTGTACAGTAGGATTCAGAGCATAGGCCATATCACCCTAGCACTGTACCTCCCAAGCACCCTAAGGCTACAGGACTTTTGTCCCTTCTGCTGTCCCCCTCAAACTAGGGCGTCCCAAGGACAGGTCTTATCTCATTTCCCTACTCCCCTCTGTTGCCCTCCCCCCCCACCTCCAGCAAACTAGGAGGCCCAGGATATAGGCCTCATCTTCCCTTCACTGTTCCCCAAACAAGGGATTATCAAGGGTGGTCCCCTTCTCCCCTCTGCTGTACCCTCCAACTAGGAGATTCTGAGGGTGAGCCCATTCTTTCCCCTGTTGTACCTCCAAATTAGATTAACTCTCTTCTTCTCACCATCTACCACTGGAACCCCAAAGAGAAGAGACCTGCTTCCTCTTCTACCTGAGAGTGCCAAAGGGCCCCAAGTCATCTCATCTTCCAAACAGAAAACTCCGATGCCATGACCACAGCCCTATCGCCGCCCTTCGGTTCCAAACTGAGAGGTCCAGAGGGCGGGCCTCTGGCCTCTGCTACTTGGGGTCCTCTTCTACCCACCCTGGGAAGGGACCCCAGACTCTACCTGCAGCTCCTGGTCCAAAGGGGGGTCAGCCTCTGCCATCCTGGGCCCTGGCTGAGGACCCCGCCCTTTTCCTGAACCTCTGCCCCGCAGGGCCTCTCGCTGCTTTTGCTTACCACTTCCTCTTTCCTGCTACTCCCAGAACCCCCTGCGCTGCGCTGGGCCAGCCACAGGGCTCTGGGGCATCTGAGGAACCTTCCTTTCAGCCCCACTCCAAGGCGGAGCCTATTTCAGTAGAGATAACCCAAGGGTGGCTCTCAATTCTCATCCCGCCTGCATACACTCACATGCCCGCTAGTGTGGATATGGGGAGCAGGTTCCCCCAAGTGTATACAGGCTCCAGGAGCTGGCTCAGGTATGCACACACTATATACTTCATATGCTATAAGGATGTAACAGGAACATAGGCTGGTGAGTGTGTGCACACTTCTAAGCCTACCCTATTGAACAATTATATGCAAACGCTGTGAGCACTCATAGGAACCAACCCCCTTCCCACAGACACAGGTCATGACAATTTCCGGCTTCCTCTCAGTCTTGTGGCCCCCTGCTGTTGACCACAGCTTGGAGGCCCCGGGGACCCTGCTAGCCCAACACGAGGACAAAGCACTAGATGCTATGGTGGTGACAGTACCCCCATATCAGTAGCCCATCCAAGTTCAAGCTTGGCTATTAATAACAATAGCAGCTACTCCAAGCTTCACCCCAGCCAACTAATGTACATCGACAAGGAGGATACTATTATGACTGCACAGCTAAGGTGCAAAAACTGAGACCGTTAGCAGTAACATACCTTGCCCCAGGGTCCCACAGTCTATACAGGGAGTAGGGCTGGGAGCATCCAGAATGTAGCACTCACTAGGCAATGAGTGCCCTTTGTATTATCTTCCTCCTCTGTGAAAACCCATTTCACAGATAAGGAAAGTCTTCATTGGCTCCTAATCAAGCTTCAGGGTCGGCTGCCCCTATGGAGGATTTACTGTAGATCCAGTGTCATTTAGTACCCTAACCCTACCACACCCTCACATTAGTCCTGAGTAGCTGCCATTAATCCTCACCTTCCTGAGTGAGGAAACTGAGGTTCAAAGAGGTAACAGCAGCAATTCTCAACAAGGGTGGGAGGAATTTTGGGCCACCTCCAACTGGCCACATCCAGAGACATTTTTAGTAGTCACAACTGGGGGTGGTGAGGGAGAGCTACTGACAACTATGGGTGGAAAACAGGAATGCTTCTCAGTACCCTACAGTGCACAGGATAATACCACCCAAAGAATGATCCTGCCCCTAATGTCAACAATGCCAAGGTTGAGAGATCCTGGGTTAAAGGACAGACTCACACTCCACCAGCTGCTGACCATGACCACAGTAAAGACTCTGCAGCAGTCCCACTGCAGAATGATGTCCTGGTCTCTCTCTCTCTCCCATGAGCACCCCCTTAGCCCACTTTTTCCAATGGTAGAACAAAGGTTAGGAGAGGCAAAGGCACTTGAATGCAGGACACACAGTGAGGAAATGATCTCACTGGAATTTAATCCCAGGCTCACCTAATACTACCCACACCCTACCAGCTCCCACCCACCACCCATCCCACCCTGTCCCAAGCAGGCAGAGCAGGAGTACAGGCGAGAGCAGAGCCAGCTTAAACGAGGGAAGACCAGGGAGAGAGGAGGGGCAGGCTCCCTTGACCCCACCTCCAGCAGCTGAGGGCTGAGAATATGCAGAGCAGGGAGGAAGAGGCCCAGCCTCCAGGGTTCTCCTCCCTCAATAGGGGTGACTCACTCCTACCCATGGAAGAGGGGTCACCCAAGGGCCAGCCAGGCAAACCCACGAACCAGGGACTGCTGGCACCAGCCTTGGAGAACTCCTGCTCCCTCATCTTCCACCATGAAGCAGGAGATCCCAGATTCAAAGGGTCCACCTCCAAGAATCCTCTTCTCCCCAGAGCTGCCTGGGATCTAGACCCCCCAAGTCCGGATATTTCAATGCCTTGGGCGTTTCCGGAATCTGGACAGGACATCCGTTTGCCGGACACAGAACAGACAGGCACATATAGGGACAGACAGAGGGACAGGACGGCAAGCACAAGCACAAGAAAGGGGTGGCCAGGAAAGGGGGGGAGAGAGCAGACGAGGTGGAAAGGGGCCCAGGGCATTAGTCTTGTTCCAGGAATCACAGCCTCTGTCTGGATCATATTTGGTACACGCTAAGCGCATGCATGCACCAGGGGATTCCTACACAGGCCTCCCGGGGCTGGAGAATAGAGGCAGGGACCCAAGGTCTGACCTTGTGTGATCGGCAACACCAGATCCGCCCAGCTCCTCGGCAAGGCTGGCAGGCCATCAGCAGGACTGGGGTTGGGGACAGAGGGTCATGGGGGAGAAACAGAGGGAACCAGGGCAGGTGCAGAAGGAGAGGAGAACCCAGTTATACAGCAACCACAGGACAACAGAGGGATGGTGAGGTACTAATGACAGCACCAGAGATACAAGACAGTTTCAGATTTGAGTCAGTTGAACCAAAGGCCAGATTTCATCCTGGACCTGCTTGTCACAGATGGGGAAGGTGAGTCCAGGACTGTGATTTTCAAAAGGTAGCACGGGGAGAACCTGGCTGGGTGGCAAGTTGGTGCCTGCCAGTCACCTGTTTGGGGAAGTAGGGGGAAAGGGGTGGAGTCTGACCCTGTCCTATCACCCATGCGGTGGTAGGATTCCAGGTACCGGTGGTAGGATTCCAGGTACCGGAGAATCCTCTGGCGTACCGACTTGGACACTCCCCACCTGGGTAAGGTTCCACCTGGCAGCCTATTTGGGTTCTCTGGCCCCCAACCTAATGAAGTGACTCGGGCACTTCCTCCAACAGGTGCCAATCCCGTGGCGTCTGGACCATTGTAAAGCTCCATCTGGAGGCGGGGGCCCTTGGAGCTTTGTTGTGAGGGGGAAGGGCACTGGCCAAGAGGCGGCCTCCTTCCCCCTAGGCACAGCGCCAGGTACCTGCCCCAGGTGGAGCAGCACCTGCCTAGAACCGAACTCTGGGGAGGGGGCCAGTGGCGAGGACGACAGGCACCTGGACAACAAGATGCCCGAAGTCAAGCTTCCGTCTCCCCTGTCCGTTTCTACCCGAGGGGCTGAGCTCAGGGATACGGCGGGGGCCTCCTACATCTCCCCGCTCCCCCACCCGGTACGACCCTGAATCTGCTGATAAAGGGCCCTTGCTGGCTCCACAGAGAGGGCCTAGAAAGGGGGACGCCAGGCGCTCGGGAAGCTCTCGCCCTGGCCGCCCCGCTCCCCGAGATCCCCGGAGCGGTCTGGCCGCCGGGCAGCTACGGACGCAGGTGCGCCTACCTGCACGGCGTCGCTGGCCATGTCCACGCGCCACCCGCCAGGGGTCCCCGCGCGGAGGGAGGGGCGGCGGGAGGAG